TTCCTTCCTTCCTTCCTTCCTTCCTTCCTTCCTTCCTTCCTTCCTTCTTTCACTCCTTTCTTTTGCTTTGAGATGTTATCTCACTATATATCTCTGGTTTCCTGAAACTCTCTCTTGTAGAGCAGGATGGCCTCAAACTCACAGAGATTTGCCTGCCTCTTCCTCTTGAGTGCTGGGATTAAAGGCTCATATAATTCCCTTTCATAGCTCTGTTTCTTTTGTATTTTATTTCCCCCATTTCTACCTATTAAAATACAGTAATTGCACAAGTTATCGGAGTGCATATTTTGGTTTCAGAATTATGCTAGCAATATACTCTGCAGTCATGTGCATGGAGCATCTTGCTTTGCTCTGTTCCTGAAACTATCAGGTAATGTTCAGTCTGCAGATAGTTATATTTTAATTGATATTTCCAAGAATAAGCCCATATCTTACCAGTCATATTTTTATTCTCTTTGAGTTTAATCTTTATTGATTAAACTTTATATTTTATATATTATATATGTGTCTTCTTAAAATTTTAATAAGGAATCCTTTTACATCATTTATTATAACAATGGTAAAGGAATCCATGACCCCTATATACAAGTTTAACACAAAATTCATCTATTTGGGTTATAATTCTATTGTTTGAGAATTAGTCTTGCTGTCCTTGAACGGTTCTAGTAATTCTACTCTAGGCTGAGTTCTGTTGTACATCTGGTCAAATTTCTAATGTCTTTGCAGATCAGTAAGACCCTGCTACTTCAGGATATGGATAAAGTTTCTGCTACGGGTATGTCAGGTATCTTCTATGCAGTTTAAGAAATGCCAAATACTTTTGGTTTTTATAAAATATGCTTACATATATTCACTGGATCAATTCCCGCTTCCCACTAAGACATTTATATACAAACATATATTGTGTCTTTCTCTCTTGCACACACTCCTGATCTAATTTCTCTTCATCCTCCCTTGTTCTTAATTCCAATTTCCTCCTAATTTCTGTTGGAATTTCCTTTCCCTCACCTTTCCTTCCTTTTCTTTCCCTTCCCTTCCCTTCTCTCCTTCCTCTTGTTCCTTATGTCCTTCTTTCCTTCCTTCCCTTTTTCTTGCTTCCTTCTTTTCTTTCCTTCTTTTTCTTTTCTTTTCTTTTTTTTTTCTTTATTTAGACTGAGAGATAACTATATAGGTTCAAGCAAATGCATTTGTTGAGGAATTGACCTTTGTTGAATGCACACTTTTGGGATATCTATAGAGAATAAGATTATTAAAATCCCATAAATTCATGGTGCTTTTAAAATTATTAGTCATTATTAGTCATTGTTAGTGTTGTGGGTCTTCCTCATAATAGGAATGATTTTTCTATCTGTTAGAAAAATGATATTACGAAATTTGCAATTAAATGGATGGCTATGGAAAATATTTACTGAGTGAGATCGTCGAGGCCCAGAAAGAAAATATGTGACATACTCTTTCTCATGTGTGAATCTTGTATTTGAATATTCTATTGGGTATGTTTGAACCATAGTGCATGTGGAAGCCAGGAAACTAAAAATTTATCACTGGAGGTGGGCATGTCAAGGGAGAAAGCATAGTAAAATACATCAAAATAAAAATAGAGAAAGAAAATCCTGGGTCTGAAAGTTTCAAGCATGAGAAGGAATATGGAGGGAAGTGTGGGTAGTGGAATGCTTAATAAAATAAAGGTGAGTGTATAAAGCAGCTATATGGAAAACCTTGATCTTCCATCCCAAGAAAAATATTGTCATTCGAGCAGATAATGAGACAGTAATGAAATGAAAAGAGGTGGAATTCTTGGGCTAAAGGTTTATAAAGGTGTTGGAGGTTGGTAAGAAGAGACGGGGTAGTGCGAGCAAGCCCAAGCTATAGATGTATGAAAAAAACCTTACGGAATGCCACCCATTTCTAACCTAACTAAAGATCCAATATATACTTTAACGAAAGAGTTTGAACAGAAGTATCTTTCTTGAGTGGGCAATGTTGTTTCCAAAAGACCTGGTTTGCAGAATGAAAATGTCAGGGGGCAAGATGGCAGCGATGAGAGTGTATCATTTCTGAATGCCAGAAGACTCGAAACTTTGAAATTGGTGAGTGGAAGAGCATCTGAAGCTGGACAATTGACACTGTGGCTCCCCAAAGGAAGGGGGACAGCATAGGATCAGAGAACTCTTTCATTCAGGTCAAACACTGACTTCGCTAGAATTGGAGAGGGGCACTTTCCTTCCAATCACAGCACCAGCACCAGCACCAGCACCAGCACCAGTGTTGCCTGAAAACTGAGGCAGCTGAGGTGAGAATACAAGCACTGCAGCCTCAGCAGACAACCTAACCCGCTTGCGGAGCCCGAGATCCACAGTAAAAGGATGCCTGGTTCCCCTGCCCAAGAGCAGCCAGCTGTACTGACTCCACAGAGAGTGACTATACTTTAAGGGATGCTTAGTCCTTCAGTGGTGGACTTAGTCCCTCAGTGGCAGACTCAGTAGCTGTGCAGCACCTGGTGCTGTGCTTGGCTACTCCGAGGGGGAGGGAGGCCAGAAGGAAAGTGCCCAATTCTTCGGAAATACAGGAAAATGACCTTAAAGATATGCTTATCCAGTTACTAGAGACACATAAAGAGGAAACAACTCTCTCAGAGAAATTGCCATGCAAATAGACAGGCAACTAGAGGCAAAATTAGTGGCATATAGAGAAGAAACAAAACAAAAAAATAAAGGCCATCATACAGAGACAAGAAGCCACATTCAAACAGATGAAGGAAATGGTACAAGATGTAAAAATAGAATTAGAATCAATAAAGAAAACACAAACAGAGAAAACCCTGGAGCTGGAGAACTTAGAGAAAAGATCAGGAACCACAAAAGTAAGCATCACCAACAGCAAACAAGAGATGGAAGAGAGAATCTCTGGCACTGAAGATATCCTTGCAGAAATTGATACTTCTCTCAAAGAAAAAGTAAAATCTGAAAAGTCCCAAATGCAAAACATCAAAGAAATCAAAGACACCATGAAAAAATTAAATTTAAGAATAATAGGAATTGATGAAAAAGAAGACTCCAGTCTCCAAGGACCAGAAAATGTCTTCAAGAAAATCATAGAAGAAAATTTTCCCAACTTAAAGAAAGAGATGTCCATAAACATACAAGAGTCCTACAGAACACCAAACAGACTAGACCAGAAAAGAAACACCTCATGTCAAATCATTGTCAAAACATTAAATATACAGAACAAAGAAAAGATATTAAAAGCAGCAAGGGGAAAAGGCCAAATAACACATAAAGGTAGACCTATCAGAATCACACCAGACTTCTCATCAGAAACTGTGAAAGCCAGAAGGGCCTGGGCAGAGGTCATGCAGGCTTTAAAGGCCCACAGATACTATGCCAGACTACTATACCCAGCAAAGCTTTTAATGAACAGAGATAGAGAAAAGAAAATATTCCATGATAAAACTAAATTTAAGCAATTTCTACACAGAAAACCAGCCCTACAGAAGATACTAGGATGAAAACTCCAATCCAACGAAAACAACTATACCCAAGAAAATTAGGATACAGGTAATGGCCCTACAAATATGAAAAGAAAAAAAGCAATGACTCACAGTAAGACCACCAACACCATAATAAAAGGAACTAATATTCATTGGTCACATTGTCTATCAGTATCAATGGACTCAACTCGACAATAAAAAGACACAGACTATCAGAATGGGAACAGGAACAGGATACAACATTCTGCTGTATCCAAGAAATATACCTATGCAACAAAGATAAATACTACCTCAGAGTGAAGGGCTGGAAAAATGTTTTCCAAGCAAATGGACCCAGAAAACAAGCTGGGGTAGCAATCCTATTACCTAATAAAATAGACTTTCAACCAAAGTTAATCAAAAAAGATGAGGAAGGACACTACATTCTCATCAAAGGAAAAATCCACCAAGAGGACATCACAATTCTGAACATCTATGCCCCAAATACAAAAGTGCCTACATTCATAAAGGAAACATTATTAAAGCTTAAATCACAAATCGATCCCAACATTTTAATAGTGGGAGACTTTAACACCCCACTTTCACCAAGGGACAGATCATCTAGACAGAAGCCAAATAGGGAAATAATGGCACTTACAGAGGCCCTAATTCAAATGGACCTAATAGGCGTCTACTGAAATTTTCACCCAAACTCAAAGAGTATACTTTCTTTTAAGCACCTCTTGGAACCTTCTCCAAAATAGACTATATAGTTGGTCACAAAGCAAGACTCAACAGATACAAGAAGATTGAAATAATCCCCCATATTCTATCTGACCGCCATGGACTAAAGCTGGACCTCAACAACAATAGAAATCACATAAAGCCTATACTCATATGGAAACTGAACAACTTGCTACTCAATGAGAGCTGGGTTAAGGAAGAAATTAAGAAACAAATCAAAGACTTCCTAGAATTCAATGAAATGAAGATACAACATACCCAAATTTATGGGACACAATGAAAGCAGTGCTCATAGGAAAATTCATAGCATTAAGTACCTTCAAGATGAAATTTGTAACATCTCATACAAGCAACTTAATGGCCCAACTGAAAGCCCTAGACAAAAAAGAAACAGATACATCCAAAAGGAACAGATGGCTGGAAATAATCAAACTCAGGGCTGAAATCAATCAATTAGAAACAAATAAAAGTATTCAAAGAATCAATGAAACCAAGAGCTGGTTCTTTGAGAAAAATCAACGAGATAGACAAACCTTTAGCCAAACTAACTAAAAGGCAGAGAGAAGCTATCTAAATCAGCAAAATCAGAAATGAAAAGGGGGAAATAACTACAGACACCGCTGAAATCCAAACAATCATCAGGTCCTACTACAAAAGCCTATATGGCACAAAATTTGAAAATCTGAAAGAAATGAACAATTTCTTAGATAGATTCCATCTACCAAAATTAAGTCAAGATCAGGTAGAAAGATTGAATAACCTTATATTCTCTAAGGAAGTAGAAGCAGTCATCAACAGTCTTCCTTCTAAAAAAAAAAGCCCTGGGCCAGATAGTTTCTGTGCAGAATTCTACCAGACCTTCAAAGAAGCGCTATTTCCAATTCTCTTCAAACAATTCCACAAAATAGAAACAAAAGGAACTTTACCAAACTCATTCTATGAAGCTATAGTCACCTTGATACCTAAACCACACAAAGACCCAACAAAAAGAGAACTTCAGACCTATCTCTCTTATGAACATTGATGCAAAAATACTCAATAAAATACTTTCAAACAGAATCCAAGAACACATCAAAGATATCATTTACCATAACCAAGTAGGCTACATACCAGGCATACAAGGATGGTTCAATATATGGAAATCCATCAATGTAATCTACCACATAAACAAACTGAAGTAGAAAAACCACATGATCATCTCTTTAGATGCTGAAAAGGCCTTTGACAAAGTCCAACATCCGTTCATCTTTAAAGTCTTGGAGAGATCAGGAATACTAGGCACATACCTAAACATAGTAAAGGCAATATACAGCAAGCCTGTAGCCAACATCAAACTCAATGGAGAAAAACTTAAATCAATACCACTGAAATCAGGGACAAGGCAAGGCTGCCCACTCTCTCCATATCTCTTCAAAATAGTACTTGAAGACCTAGCTAGAGCAATGAGACAGGAGAAGGAGAAGGTAAAAAACAGAAAGGAAGAGATCAAAGTTTCACTATTTGAAGATGATATGATAGTATACATGAATGACCCCAAAAATTCAATCAGAGAACTCCTTCACCTGATAAACACCTTCAGCAAAGTGGCAGGATACAAAATTAATTCAAAAAAAAATAAGAAACCCTTCTGTATACTCAAAACAAAAGAGCCAAGAAAGAAATCATGGAAATGACACTCTTCATAATAGCCACTAATAAAATAAAGTATCTTGGTGTGACTTTAACCAAGCAGGTGAAAGACCTGTTTGAATAAAACTTCAAGTTTCTGAAGAAAGAAATTGAAGAAGATATCAGAAGATGGAAAGATCTCCAGTGCTCATGAGTTGGTAGGATTAACATAATGAAAATGGCCATCCTGCTAAAAGCAATCTATAGATTCAATGCAATTCACACCAAAATACCAACACAATTCTTTACAGAACTTGAAAAAAAGATTCTCACCTTCATATGGAGAAAAAAAGAGCCTGAATCTCCAAAACGATCCTGTACAGCAATAGATAATCTGGAGGTATCTGCATCCCTGACCTCAAGCTGTACTACAGAGCAATAGTAGTAAAAACAGCATGTTATTGACATGGAAGCAGAAATGGAACTGAATAGAAGACCCAGAAATAAACCGAAACACCATGAATACTTGATTTTCGACAAAAAAGTCAAAACCGTGCAATGGAAAAAAGACAGCATCTTCAACAAATGGTGCTGGTCCAACTGGTTGTCTACATGCAGAAAAATAAAAATAGATCCATATTTATCACCCTGAACAAACTAAAGTCCAAGTGGATCAAAAACCTCAGCATAAAACCAGATACACTAAATCAGTTAGAAAAAAAAAGTGGGGAAGACCTTGGAACTCATTGGCACAGGAGACAACTTCCTGAACAGAACACCAACAGCACAGGCTCTTAGAGCAACAATTGATAAATAAGACCTCATAAAATTGAAAAGCTTTTGTGAGTCAAAAGACGTTCTCTTTAGAACAAAACGATAGCCTACAGACTGGGAAAGGAACTTCACCAACCCTATATCTGAAAGAGGGCTGATATCCAGAATATATAAATAACTAAAGAAGTTAAAAATCAATAAATCAAGCAATCCAATTAAAAAATGGAGAATAGAGCTAAACAGAGAATTCTCTGTAGAGGAATATAGAATGGCAGAGAAACACCTAAAGAGATGTTCAACGTCCTTAGCCATCAGAGAGAGGCAAATCAAAACGACCCTGAGATTCCATCTTACACCCATCAGAATGGCAAAGGTTAAAAACTCAAGTGACAACACATGCTGGAGAGGTTGTGGAGAATTGGGAACCCTCCTCCACTGCTGGTGGGAATGTAAACTTGTACAATCACTGTGGAAATCAATCTGGTCCTTTCTCAATCAATTAGGAATAGCGCTTCCTCAAGATCGAGCTATACCACTCCTAGGCAAATATCCAAAAAATGCTCAAGTACACAAGAAGGACATTTGCTCAACCATGTTTGTAGCAGCATTATTCGTAATAGCCTGAACCCGGAAACAACCCAGATGTCCCTCAGCAGATGAATGGATATAGAAATTGTGTTACTTTTACATAATGGAATACTATTCAGCAATTAAAAACAAGGAAATCATGAAATTTGCAGGCAAATGGTGGGATCTAGGAAAGATCCTCCTGAGTGAGGTATCCCAGGTTCAGAAAGACATAATGGTATATACTCACTTATATAGTTCTGTAAGATAGGATAAATATACTAAAATATGAGCAACTAAAGAAGATAAACAAGAAAGAAGACCCAGGGTAAGATGATCAATCCTCACTTAGAAATACAAATGAGATGGACATGGTAAGTAGGAAAAAACAAGAAACAGAACAGGAGCTTACCAGAGAGGGTCTATTAAAGACTCTACCCAGCAGCATATCAAAGCAGATGTTGAGACTCATAACCAAACCTTCGGTAGAGTGATGAGAATCACATGAAAAAAGGGGGAGTTAGTATGACCTGGAAAGGACTGGAGCTCCACAAGGACAAAATATACCAGGGCACAGGGGTCCTCTATGAGACTGTTTTTCCATCCAAGGACTATGTATGGATATAACCTAGAACCCCTGCATGGATGTAGCCCATGGTAGATCAGTATCCAATTGGGTTACCCTAATAAGGGGAACAGGAACTATTTCTGACATGAACTCAATGACTGTCTCCTTTACTTCCCCCATCACCACAGAGGGAGGATCAGCCTTGCTAGGCCACAGAGGGGAACATTGCAGCTAGTCCTGATGATACCTGATAAGCTAGGTTCAGATGGAAGGGAATAAAGACCTACCCTAGCAGTGGACTTAGAAAGGGACAGGGAGGAGATGGGGGAGGGAGGGTGAGAATGGGATGGAATGAGGGAGGGGGCTAAGGCTGGGATACAAAGTAAATAACCTGTGATTAATATTAAAAAATAAAAATGAAAAAAGAAAATATCAGTGCCAGGTATTGTATCACTTAAGAGTTATTTGTCAAGGAGCCCCCCACAGAAGCTTAAAACCATACAAGCTATTGCTGTTGCTCTTGGCTGTCCATTGCTTGAACACCGTTTTCTTTGAAATGGAGGATGTAGAGAAATCAACCTCAACTGATAAGAAAATCCCCAGCCTACATAGTGCTGAATGTGCTAAGCAGGCTGCTGGGGTAGAAAAGACACCAAGTGTCTCACCCAGAGCTGGACTTTGCACACTTCAGTACTAACCAACCTGCTTGTCAAAGTGGATTTACTGGTACAATGGTGGATTGGCAGTTATGGAGGTAACTGATAGCTTTCAGAATGGATATGAGGCCTGTTTCATAGGAGAGATTTTATACTAGTAAATTTGGCTTGAAGCCCATGATAGAGGAGATCACAAACCCTTGAGTTGATTCTACTATTGTTTTGCTATGTGGCCATTCTGTGTAACTGCTTTATGAAAATTTATGTTAATACCCATATACTTATTTTTCTCTCAGTTTTGGTCAGAGAAATTTCTTTTGGTTAATGAAGAGAATCATAAATTATAAATGGTCAAAACATCATATAGGAGCAAATTTCATGATTTCCTTGTTTTTAATAGTTGAGTAGTATTCCATTCTGTAAATGCACCATATTTTCTTTATCTTCAGTTAATGGGCATCTAGGTTGTTTCCAGTTTCTGGCTATTATAAATAAAACTGTGTGTGGGGTGTGTGTGGCATTGCTTGTCAAGATGGAGGCCTCTTATAGGGTAGTATCCTGAGAGAATCTGGGTGTTACTCTAGCTGAGGGTCCTAACAGGGTGGGAGGCATGAAGACTGATGTGACCACCTCCTAACCAGGCATGTCTAGTGGAAGGAGAGAAAGAACAACCCACAGACAAAACCTGTGGTCCAAAAATCACTCTGCCTACAAGAAGTACAGGGATAATGAGGGAACAAAATTTTAGTGAAAGTCCAAATAAGAATTGGCCCAACCTGAGACCAACCCTACAGTAGAGAGCCAGCTCCTGACACTAATAATGATATTCTGTTATGCTTACAGACAGATGCCTAACTTGACTGTCATCTGGGAGGCTCCAGCCAGCAGCTGTTGGAGACAGATGCTGGGACTTACATCCAAGCATGGGGCAGAACTCTGGGAATCCTGTGGAAGTGTTGGGGGAAAGATGGAAGGACCTGGAGGGGACATCAACCCCACAAGAGGGAAAACAGAGACAACTAAACCAGTTCCATGGGGGCTTATAGAGACTGAGACATCAAGTAAAAGCATGAATGATCTGGACCTAGGCTCCCTTCACTCATGTAGCCAATGGACAGTTTGGTCTTCATATGGGGTGCCTGACGGGTGGGGGGGTGTTTCTAACATGGACTCTATTGTCTGCTTTTGGATAGCTTCCCTCTGGCAGGGCTATCTTACTTGGTCTCAGGGTACACGTTCAATGATGATGTGACTTGTTGTGCAGGGGAAAGTTGATGGTGGGAGGGCTCTCCTTTTCTGGGGGAAAAGGGAGAGAAAGACAGGGGAGACTTGAAGGATGGAGGTGGGGCATCCTTGGGATGTAAGGTACATAAACTAAAAACAAATAATAAAGCTGCTATTAACATAGTTGAGGAAATGTCCTTACTTATGGTGAATCTTCTTTTGGTATATTGCGCCTCTACACATATGTCACTAATGGGTAGTTTGATCTTCATGTGGGTCCCTTAGTAAGTTGAACAGGTGCTGTCTGTGACATGGACTCTGTTGCCTGCTTTTTTATTACTTCCTCTTGTGCAGGCTGCCTTATTTGTTCTCAGTGGATGAGGATTAACTCAATCCTGATGTGACCTGATACGCTGGAGTTTGTTGGTGAAGAGGACTCCCCCTTTCTAAGGAGAAGGAGAAGGGGGAAGAGAAACAGAGTTGAAGGATGGGACCAAGAGGAGGGAGTGGGCTATGATAAAGATGCAAAGTGAATATATAAATTAAATATAAATTAAAAAAGAAGTAACTACAAGTGCTCAGCTATAGATGAATGGTCTATATAGATTTCCTCCCATTCAAGGCTAAGAGACCTTCAAGGAAGAGGGGACAGAAAGAATAAAAAAGCTTCAGGATGTAGAGAACTGGACATGAAATGACTGTGGCAGGCATCAACTCAGAATAGCTGTGGTTGCCTAAATAAGACTTATATAAAATCAAGTCAGTCAGAATTCCAACATGTAACAATGAGGGGCCCTTAAAGGCTTCATCCTTGGCAGAGAAGCTATTGGCACTAGATGATTGTTGAGAAGAGAGACTCTTTTTGAGAGGCATGGCCTCTGCTAGGTGGTTCACATTCTGCGAGATGGCCAAACACCCAAGCAGATATAGGCAACCCTAACTGTACTCCAGGGAATATAAATAACAATCACAAGAGAACATGAAGCCATGGGGCAACAAGGATGAGGCAGGCTAGGAGAAATTAGAGGGAGGCAGACATAGATGAATATGATTAAAATATATTGTGCAAATATATAAAATTTCAAAGAATAAACAAAAATATTATACTGTTGAGAAACTGAAAAACATCTTCTTACTATGTAAGAAAAAAAGAACACCACCATTGGTTGGCCTGAGAGTGCCATGAGTCTATAGAACACTATATATTTATGATCATTTAATAATAATTACTCAAAATTCATGAACATGGTATGCTTTGTACTTTCTAGAGTCTTTGGCAGTTTTACTCATCACATCTTATGGTTTTTATTGTTGAGAACTTTTAGATCTTTATAATGCTCATTTCCAAACACTTTGTGTTTTGTGTATGAATGCAATTAAACTACCAATTTCCTTTTCAGTAAGCTTATTAATTCAGTTTCATTTTATGTACACATATGTCTACTTGTCTGTATCTCCACCACGTGTGTACAGTGACCCGTCCCGTGGGCTATTCGAACAGGGTCCACCTGAAAGAGGGAGTGGAAATTGGGGGACAGAGACTCGAAGAATGGAGAAAAGATAGATGCCTGATCAAGTTTCAGTTTACTGAACGTGCAAACAGCACTTATAAAGCAAAGGGTACAAGCAATTTTTCCACAGTAGCAACAAATCTGTGCCACCTGGCAAGGCATGCCGGAATTCACTCAAGGTCACACAAAGTCTGCTGTCTGGTTCCCAAGGTTGCAGGGAGCTTTCTGTCTTCTTCCCAGGCTCAGAGCACCCCGCCTGCAGAGACCGCCAAGGACAGTCTCTGAGAAATGGAATTTAGATAAGCCCCGAATCTGCCAAGGCCAGGAGACGGAATTCCAAATACCAGACTCTTTTAGTATAGGTAACTGTGGAAGCCAGAAGAGAATGTCGGACCCCCCATGTAACTGGAGTTAACAGTGTTTGTGATCTTTCCACTGTGGGTGCCAGGAACAAAACCTGGGTCCTCTGTATGAACATGTGGTTATAACCTTTTAGCTATCTCTCTAGACCCCAGCAAATTTATTAATATGTATAGGAAGAATAAAGAGTGCTTTAGTTAGGGTTTCTATTATTGTGAAAAGACCCTATGACCATGGCAATTCTTATGAAGAAAAAACTTTTAAAATTAAACTTATTTGTATTAATTACAGTTTATTCACATTGTATCCCAGATGTAGCCCCCTCCTCTATCCCTTCCCAACCCCACCCTCCCTCTCTCTTCTCCTCTGACTCTCCTCCATTCCAATGATAGGGGAGGTCCTCCTCACCTTCCATCTGACCCTAGTCTGTCAGGATTCATCAGGAGTGTCTTCATTGTCTTCCTCTGTGGCCTGGTAAGGCTGCTCCCCAATTTGGGGGAGGTGATCAAAGAACCATCCTCTGAGTACATGTCAGAGACAGTCTCTGTACCCTTTACTAGGGAACCTACTTGGATATAGACCTGCCATGGGCTACATCTGTGCAGGGGTTCTAGGTTATCTCCATGCATGGTTGTTTGTTGAAGTATCAATCTCAGAAAAGATCCCTGTGCCCAGATTTTTTTGGTTCTGTTGTTCTCCTTGTGAAGTTTCTGTTCCCCCCGCCAGGTCTTTCTAGCTCTCCTTTCTTTCATAAAATTCCCTGCACTCTGCCCAAAGTTTGGCTACCAGCATCTGCTTTAATACCCTGCTTGGTAGAGTTTTTCAGAGGCCTTCAGTGGTAGGCTCCTGTCCTCTTCCCTGTTTTGGCTTAGAGTTCAGAAATTTAGTTCATTATCATCATGGTGGGAAGCATGATAGCACACAAGCAGAGGTAGTTGAGAATTTTACACCTGAATCTTTAGGCAGTAGGAAAAGGACTGTAAGCCATGTGGACCAATTTGAACTTTTGAGATCTCAAAGTCCACGCCATAGTGATGCACTTTCTCCAACGAAGCCACACCTATTCCAACAAGGACGTACCTTTGAATACTGCTGCTCTTTATGGACATACAGGGACCATTTTTATTCAAACCACCACAGAGAAGTTATTCTTTTCTATGCTAATTTTTCATCCTACTCTATTACTGAACTTATGAGTTCTAGTAGATTTGTTTTGATAAAAACTTTAGGATTTTCTATGCATTGAATTGTATCAACAAGTAGGTGTGGTTGTACTTTTTATTCCTCCCTATTTATAATTTCAAGGCTTTCTCTATCCTGAACGGATAGTGCTAAAATTTCTAGTACTGCTTTAAATACCTGTGGGGGGAAAAAAAGATGTACATATTATTCTCACCCTTAGAGAAATGAATCCAGTCATTTGCCATTTAGTATGATGTTGGCCTTTGGGACTAGTGAAATATGCATCTTTTGGAATGAGTCTGAAAGGGTTTTATTTTTTTTTCCTTTCTGTTTTCTTCTCTTCCAGTATTTGAATTGATGTGTGCTCACTTTATGTTGTATTGTATGATACAGACAATTTCTTTCAAGTATTTAGATCATATTATCTCCTTCTTGAACTTCTCAGTTATAGTTTTCAGTCTTTCCTCTTCTCTGACACTTATGGGAATACAGAGAACAATAGACTTCTGGATATTTTACTCTCTGCCTTAAAATACTCATTTATGCATGTAAATTTTCTTGATTACCATGAAAATGTGCTCCCTTTGTAATTGTTTCATAGTATTTCATTTTCTCAGTGTATCAAAGAATGTCCAACAACTGAAACATTTAAGTTAACATATTTTAAGATATTTTTCTTTCAGTAACATTTAAAAGTAGATGGATTATATTAAACATTCATCTGTATTGTTGTTCTTTAGTTATTGAAAGTTTAAATGTTATAACCATTGAGAGGTATAATAAAATCCAGATTTCTGCTTGTACTTTCGACATAGTTTCCTGCCCTCTGCAACTTGCGGTATTGCCCTTTGGCTGCACAGATTTTTTTACTGAACCTTCATTGGAATGCAGCATCTACAAAGCCAGAAAAGACATCATTTTTTTTCCAATGAGAAAGTTAAAAACCTCTTTATTTCACTTGAAAAGCATACCTATTGAATTATATTTGAAGGTAAAATTCTGAGGGATACCTAATAATCTTTTATTACTCAATGTACCATATGGTACTAATAGATTCAAATATTGCATGAAATTTGCAGGCAAGTTGTGGGATCTAGAAGAGATCATTCTGAGTGAAGTATCCCAGAAGGAGAAAGACAAACATGGTATATACTCGCTTATATAGACCTACAAGATATGATAAACATAATGAAATCTACACACCTAAAGAAGATAATCAGGAAAGTGGACACAGGTGAAGATGATCAATTCTCATTTAGAAAGACAAATGGGATGTGCATTGAACGTATGACAGGAGTCTACCACAAAAGGCATCTGAAAGACTCTACCTAAGAGTGTTTCAAAGCAGACACTAAGACTCATAACCAAACCCTCGGCAGAGTGCAGGGAATCATATGAAAGAAGGGGAGTTAGTATGATATGGAAAGGATAGGAGCTGTACAAGGACCAAATATATCCAGGCACAGGGTCTTTTCTGAGACTGACACTCAACCAAGGACCATCTATGGATATAACCTAGAACTTCTGCTCGGATGTGGCCCGTGGTAGCTCAGTAACCAAGTAGTTTTCCAAAGTAAGGGGAACAAGGACTATTTCTAACAGGATCTCAAGGGCAGGCTCTTTGACCTCCCCCCCCAGGGGAGGAGCAGTAGTGTTAGGCCACAGAGGAGGACTTTGCAGCCAGCCTTGACCCTGATAAAACAGGGTCAAATGAAAGGGGAGGAGGTCCTCCCCTATCAGTGGACTTGGAAAGGGGCAGGGAGGAGACCAGGGAGGGAGTGTGGGGTTGGGGAGGGAATGAGGGAGTGGGATACAGCTGGGACACAGAGTTAACAAAATGTGACTAAAAAGAAAAATAAAACAAAAAAAATTTCCAAAAATCAAGAAAATGGGAGTCTGGATGGTTTTAGTTTAACTCAATGTCAGTAATTAATTTCCAGAGAATTTGTGACAGTGCTTGGGAAATTAAAGAGCCAATTTAGTTCACCTAATATTTTCTGTGTCATTATACGACCCTAAGTCTTCATTCGTATGAAATAAGCAATTGTTTTTACACCATGCAGCATACTGTTTAAACTAACTCTTCCTACAAATTGAATGTCAGACGGTTAATAGGAACATCAACTGGCA